AATGGCGTTCCTTCGGAAGGACGGCGAACGAATAGCTGCCTCTAAACTAGGTTTATTCAAATCTGTTTTACGACATTTCTGCATAACATCAAGCAAGGTCCTTAAAAAAGTGCCACAGAGACTTAACATGTGACATTTTATGTAGAGAAGGACTCCTATAAACATGGAGAAACTCGAGAGACGACACGTATATATTTAATAGATATCTTGCTGGATATAGGAAATCTAGTACCCTTTAGTTACGAGTAGAGAAGCTTTTGAAGCAGTCGAAATGTGGATTAGTCATGCCTTGAATAAGAAAGTAGTCATTTGAGAATATGTGTTCAAAGATAGTAGTAGCTAAGTGTGAATAGCGCCACGTCGAAACTCCGACAGTGAACTATAGTAGCTTCTATTTCTATTTCACAATTTTTTTGGTATGAGATATGGTCTATTAAGCTAGTTTTTTGTGTGAAATCATATACTTAAGCTTCTTTCGATGGCGAGCTCCATGAAATCTTAGATTGACTAGCTAGGTAAAGGATTGAAACGCATAAGGAATAGTTCACAAGTATTTTCACTTTGGGATTTCTCATGCGATAAATATAGGCAGCTTTGAAACTAATCCAAATCTAGAATCCAGTAAAATTTAAATAACAGTGCACGATTATATAATTACTGGAAGAGAACGATGCATAACAGCAATTAGTTGCGCGTGTCGACCCACTCGGATGTCGACGAGTGACTAGCTGCTGCCCTAAAAAATCCCTTGAATAGAATTCTTTTAAACTTCTAATCCATTGGAAGGATCTCTAGCACTTAGATCTTACTAGGATTCATGGGAGGAAGAACTGGCAAGAGGGTTAACAAGTGTATTTGAATGAAGTGCGAGAACGAGTGTGTTGGAGATCTTCAATATCGGAATCGAACATTTCCTGAAAAGCGTCAATAATACAATTTGCATCGAATCATCAAAAGTGGACTTGAATGGAATTTAATAATCCTTTATCTTCATAGATACGTCATCTGCCCATTGACTTGTCAAATTTTTTTTCCGGCTATTTAAAATTCGTTATTTAATCTCACAAAGACTCAGAGTTGAAGCCTGATTCAACTTGCGTATGCCGGATATTAGTTTGAACAAATATAGCTTTTTAGTCTGATAGCTACGCTAAACATGCATTTTCGTAGTGGATACCGGTCAGCGATATTGCCCGCCTATGTGTTTATGAGTATGCGCATTATTAATACAGTTTGCGTGAAGTGTAGTGCATCTTTACTGCAGTCACCCTGATATTTTTTGTCTGCTGATTTTCTCTGAAAATCGAATATACTATTTTTTCGTGGTTTGAGGATATTGCTGTGTCAGTGTGGGTCACGTAGATTTCTTTTGAGTGTTATTGATAGAGTAACAGATTAAATGAACGAATGTTATAGCTAGCAGTATTACAACGGTACCAATACCATTATACACGCCGACATATGTGTACACTAATGTTGACACTAGCACAAAGCCATGTGCAAATGCCCGATGCTACCTTTTGCAAAATGTCTGCAGTAATAAACAACTGCCGATGCAGTGAAATATTCAGTCGGGGGTTAAGCGAGTCACACAGACGAGCGTTACTTGTCAATAAAGTCCGATTTGACTCTTCTTTGAAAAACTCATCACAATAAGTAGTGAGATCTTTTCGCAAATTAAGCCCTATTAATTGAATGAAAAGATAGTACAACAAATAAATTATACATAAAAATAATATTAAGAGTAGGGTATTTCTTATGTAAAGTATCATACAGAAATATGATAATTTATTCCCTCGACTGTAGGGAGGGTCATATGAAAAAAAATAGTTTGTGTGTTTGTGTGTTTGTGGCAGGGTCAAAAGAATACCGGGGTCAAAAAAACATCAGAGATGAAGTTCATTTAGGCATAACTTGTAAAGTTCGGCCAAAGGTAATCCAAGTCGGGAAATCCGAACCTTAGGTAAGGTTTTACATCCGGCCATTCCATTGGCTAACATGCCCACCAATCAGAAACGAGCTTTTTTATTTTAAGCTTTTCGGGCCTTTTCATGAAACTTTACTATAGGTTATCGATGGCCAGGATTCCAAATTTGAGGTCGGATTTTATATCCGACCTTCCCATTGGCTAACATGCCGACCAATTAGAAATGAGCTTTTTCATTTTAAGCTTTTTGGGCTTTTTGATGAAACTTTGATATAGGTTATCGATGGCCAGGATTCCGAATTTGAGGTCAGATTTTATATCCGACCTTCCCGTTGGTTAGAAAGGCGACCAATCAGAAATGAGCTTTTTGTTTTAACCTTTTCAAGCGTTTTGATGAAACTTTATTATAGGTATGCCATGACCAGAATTCTGAGTCTTTGATCGAATGTTAGATGTTCAAAATGTTGACCGAAGTAAATCGGTGTCGAAGAATCCGAATGCGAAGTCGGTTTTTCAAAATTTTGAGTGTGATTTTTTTTAGTGAAAGAAAAGGTTTTTTGAGAAAATGACGATATTTTAGAGAAGTTGGTGAGCCTAAATCGGTGTCAGAGCATCCGGCTCTTTACTATATCGCTGGAAGTTTACCGGTATAATTTTACAATCAGGGTAAGTTTTTTTAAGGAAACAATATGTTTTCGGTGTATTGAACATTGAGTGATATGAAATAATATGAGCTTGTGGTCTGGTAATGATTAGGAGAGTAACGTATTCAAGTGTGTAAGCTGGATTACAGAGTCGACTATATAACTAGCGTAAACTATATCTGAGGTTTCTCCACAGTGGGTATGAGGTGTAGGTGTAAGGTAGAACAAGATCAACCCACTCAGGCACATACTTACACCAACACCGACATCCACGCCACAAAGTATTCCTAATATCCAAATTCACGTTTAAGTCAATGGGACATGATTGGCATCTAAGCCTGCTCGCATTGCCTTATTTCTGGCTTACTGTTCCATTATTTGCATTTGCTTTCCAACAGACGGTTTGACTCATGAAATTTCTTTGCACTATGACTGGAAGAAGGTAATATAAACAAATATGTAGAAATGATATCACATTTTCTTGCGATTAAAAGAGAATAACTAGCTTTTGCTCATGTGTGCTCAGATAATGGAGCGACTAGCCGTTAGTGGCGCTCTGAAGGGCGCCCGACGAACGACTAGTCACTCCTATTGCAGGCTCAGTGTTGATTCGCCCCACAGATGATCATTTATAAATGCTTGATTTTTTTGGAGAATACTCCACTAAGATTCTCTTAGCGAAGAATTTAAGTGAACCTCTGATTGGCGAGCGAGGCAAATTCTCGTGTTATAACTGTAATGACTTTTTGGAACTAAGTGAAATCTAGAATCTGATAGGGTTTAAATCAAAGAGAATGGTTTTATGCCAGAATAGAATTCAGTATAGTAGTGGCTAGCCGCGAATGGTGCTCCAAAGGAACACCGACGCGTGATTAGCTGCTACTCAGTGAGATTCTCTAAAGATACACTCCAGATTGTTGTAATCCATCGAAAAAATGTCTACAGTGAAGATCTGACAGGTTCAATAGAAACCAGAACTAGCAAAAAAGACTAAGAAATGTTTTCGAATGAAATGTGAGAACAGTTGTGCTGCACGTGCACAATATATGAATGAAACATTTGACAGAAACATCATGCAAAGAATTCAGTTCTGTCCATTCAAAGTAGATTTCCATGAAATAAAATAGCTTTTCTGTCATTATGTATCCATGTCTATGTGCATTTACTCGTCTAAATTTATTCGAGTACTTCGAAATTATCTGTCTAATCCGGTGACTATTTTGAGTGCTAGCGTCATTCGAGTGGCGTATTCTGAGAATAAGTCTGATCAAATATAATTTATTGTAATCTAGAAGTTTAGCTATACACGTGTTTTTGTAGCGGACACTAGCAAATGATATTGTCGGTTAATGTGCTGGTAACTATACAGATTTTTATTTGTTTTCAAGAAGTATGATGAGTTTTCACGCTAGTGTCCTGGGTATTCTTTTTTTTTTATTGTCTCTCTCTATATTAAATGCAAACCCTTTTCTCGGAGCATATGGATGCTGCTGCCTTAGTGTTATTCATCTAGATTTCCGTTGGATATCATTCAATGTGTTTCTGTTTCGTTGGATCAGTTTATAAGAAAACGTATTTCAGACACACGCATGTCAATGTACACAAAGACATTGATGCGAATGTCAATATTCGCATTCACATGCACCCTTTTCAAACTTTTGATACGCGCCCTGTTGAGGACTGCGAAGCAGTACACAATACCGAACCAGCTGAATACTCAGTCGAGGGTCAAGCGAGTCACATAGACGAGCGTTACTTGTTTTAATTTATATTCGATAAATTATGAAAAATAAAAAATTTATACACAAAAAAAAAATATAAATTATAAGTAATTTACATTTATTATAAATGTAAATTATTTTGTTGCAGAATTTACATTTACGAATAAATGTAAATTATGATAATTTACATTTACAAATAAATGTAAATCCTGTAACAAAATAATTTACATTTATAATAAATATAAATTTCTCATAATTTAATTTACGCGTAAATTAAATTAAAAGTAAATGTAAATTGACACCCCTAAAATCAAGTGCTAGGTCTGTAATAATTATAGTTACATATGTGTTCGTGATAAAGTCTACCCTACTATTTCAGTGGCAATAAATGCCAATCGATGACGCAACAGTTTTCGAAATCGCTAAAAAATAATGATGCTGTCATTGGTTGATTACTCCAATATTACTGCTAGGACGTATTCGCAGGACTGAAAGGGTGGATTGTAAGAATCAATCCCCATGGAAACGAAACGAGCAACTCAGAGGATTCGGAAAGAAAATTTTGCTATGCACAGTTCTTTTTTACTGTGATGCTCCATCACTCGGAGAATTGTTCTCGAAGCTAAAATTCTGGTTGCATGTCCGTATACTTGCATGATTCTCTTTAACTCTCTGTATTAGATGACATCATTGAAGATCGCTAAAACTATGGAGTCGACTACAATACTTAATGATGGTACTGTTATGCCAATGTTTGGACTTGGTGTATACCGCATCGATAATAATTGTACGTATGCTTAGCAGTAAAGAGAGATTTTGTCGTCTGTTCGAAATTATTTATGAACCTTCCGAAAGGATTTCAATAAGTTTCTATGTTACGAAAGGAACTTATTTATCATAAACATTAGCATTCTCATTGTAGGTTCCAATCTAATCGCTACTGCGCTTCTGCAAAGCTATTCGCTGATTGACACCGCTGAGTTTTATAATAATGAACATAGTGTTGGAATTGGAATTCAACAGAGTGGTAAAAAGCGTGAGGATGTGTTTATTATTTCGAAATGGTGGCCAACAAGTGAAGGAGCAAATGGTGCTAGAAGAAGTCTTGATCATTGTCTGAAAAAGTTTGTAGTTGGTACTATTCTATCTATTTGCTCTGTTTCTTTTGATAGCCTCAAATCAAACTATGTTGATCTCTACATGATTCATGCTCCAAAAGATGGTTGTTGTGGTGATGCATATCGAGCATTGATTGATGCCAAAAAAGAGGGAAAGATTAGGTGAGCGTGGCGCAAAAAACTTTTTTTTTTTACATTTATGAATTTAAACGAGACGTATCGGAGTCCCGTGTTTTCTGTGCTCCTGAAACCCACTGCTCCAATATCCATTTAAAAACCAACGGGGAAACAGCAGAGACTTCAGCCGTGAAGTCCCGTGAAGTCTTGAAAGTCCTCTGAAGTCTCATGAAGTCTCTTGAAGTCTAATGAAGTCTCATGAAGTCACATGAAGAGTGTGGGTGTGGGTGTGGGTGTGGGTGTGGGTGTGGGTGTGGGTGTG